CGAATTGACCTATTGAACATTATATGTGTCTGCTGTACTTTGTATATATAGAGAGAATTTTTATACTTAAGTTTTTTACATAATCATAACTTTGCAATAATTGAAATATCGTGTATAAGCCAACATACAAAGTATACAGGGACCTAATATTATTAACATTAGCTGGCGGATGGGGTCTATAGTTGACCCCCACTTGGAATAAACCTAAGCGAGTAGATAGAAAATTAATTATAGGTTAGGTAACCTTTCACATTCTGTTTAGTCTACATAAGTTGTTGTTTTCATAATAAGTTGACAATAAAAATTATTATAAATTCAATTTTAATAATTATTTTTGTATGATAATATAAACAATTTTATTTATTATAAATACCTTAGGGGCAAAATTAGTTTTTTTTGCCCCTCAAAAATCCTCTACCAAATCGGACTCACGGTTACTCCCTTATCTAAAGTGCAATATTAATTCATGTTAAATTTCAAAACTATAAAAATATGTATATAAAATGGTTTAAATGGTAGATATTAGATAATTATATTTTTAGTGCCAAAAAAAATCGATTTCAGATTCTATCAATGTAAAAACAAATACTCGCTATTATTCCATGTAGAATTTATAAAAAATATCGGTTACATGGTGGATTATTGAATAACTCGTCTTTTAGTGTTATGATTGAACGCCAGTCAACATGCAATATCGTATAATTAATTAATTATTTTATAAATAGGTTTTCCAAATAATACAAGAGGTCGGTAAATTATCAGTAAATGATTATTATAAATGTATAAAATTAATTAACTTGGTACTATGTACCTACCTATTTTTAAGGTTACATAATTGATGATAATGATGCATTCATGTACTATATCTGCTAATGGCTTTGTATAACTTTGTAAAGATTGTTTCCAAGTCTAAAACACACGGGGTCACTAATTGTAACAACATGTTAAACTCAATTTCATTTGCAACTCAAATCATAGTTTTAAACATTAATGAATTAATAATAATTATGTCTTTTAACTACATTTGTTTCCAATTAATTACCTCATCTACCTATGTGTATATTTACTCTATACATATAAAACAAAGTACATAGCTTTATGACACTTTGAAAATTTGATGATATAAAATAAACAATAATTATTGTATGATATATAATATACTGCCCGTTGAGGTATAAATAAATAAATCTATATAAATTAGTTCCAATACAACCAGTAAGTACAATATAAATATTATTATTTTCCTTAGCTTATATTTTGGACTTGACGCAATTTAATAAATTTAATAATAATAAAAAAAAATCATTATTTTATAAATATTATAATACCTACACACCCTATCTAGTAATACAATTAAACATCAAAGGTCTCTAAATAATTCCTAATTCCCAATTAGTTACTTTAATAATTAAAAATTTATATTTAATTTTTCTTTTACCTCAAAATGTAATATAATAATCGTAGATACTGCGATGAATGTTATAATTTAAAATCTAATATTCTATTTTAAACCTTAAAATTGAAATCTGAGGTTAATACATAACTATTTTTATTTGACAATTTGAGCCCTACGACTAATGACCAAACAGATTAAAGAAAGACATAATTTATGAGAAAAATAATCTATTTGCTTTATGCCTATAGCTTTTTTAGATACCTACAATCAATTTATTTATTGCTCTAAAATTTGAAGTAATATGACAATACTAGTTTCAAATATGTACCTATTTATTTGTGTATAGAGAGTGATGTACACTTCGTCTAACAGATTTTTTTTTAAATATACTTTTATTTTGAATAATATTAGTGAACACTATAGGTACGTATAATTGCTTGCGCGTAATATCCATGTGCTCAAATGTAATATATTATAGGTAATTAAGCTAAACGGTACCTAATATAATATATACAAGTATAGATAGGTACCTATTGTTATATTTTATTTGAAATGTTTAATACATATCGATTATAAATACATAAAATATAAAATAATATTATGTATAATGATCATAATGGAAGTTATATAAGTGGCCTCTCATTTAATTTAAGAATTTTTTTTAATAAACAATACATTTTGTAATATGTGCATTGTGCACTTGATAATATTTTGAAGGAGATGTGAATATGTGATAGCCATTATTAACTTTTCTTTTTAGTTTTAGAATACCAATTTCTTTCTACAATTATGTCACATGTATTTCAATGTCAATTGATTTTAATCTAAATATTTTAGTCGTTGTTGGTTTTAAATTATATTATAAATGATAGATTTACTTGTTTAGCTTAAGTATCAAAATTTGCAATTACAAAATCTTAATCTTATCTCATCACTCGATGGCAATTTACTTATTAATTAATGATTTATATAATATATCTAGTACCTATCTGTGACGAGCGCACGGCGATGTTCTGAAATCTAGAATATCGTTCCGCTCAACTCGTACATATTACTATACGTGCTACAACCACTAGAAGAATATTCTAGACCGTTGTTGCTTCGCGAAAATTGTACGGTCTTTACACTTTAGAATTAATAAGCGTGATCACCACGTGATCCGGCCGGCAGTCAGTCACTTAGTTGTCATTCGCTAATGCCGAGTTGCATAAAAAAAGTTCATAAAATGGTTCACTAAAATTTAAATAACCAATCATGGGATTCTAAACCGTTTTTAAGGGACAATTAGCTCGCTATTGATCGTTAAATGTTTAGTTATTGACTTATTGTTTATATAACCCGGCATTAGTTTTGCAGTTGTTGTTCAGGGGTAAACTATTTAGTCGACTCGCACACATTGTTATTTACTTGTTATTATTATATAATAATATATTGTATTTTCTCAGTATATTTTTAATGTTGGTATTTCGGTGTATTAATTTTTACGCATACGTACATCCACTATAACAACACTAACAATATGTACCATATTATATTATATAACCTAATAAACGTATGCAAAATACATATTATACAATTAATGTGTTGTGATATATTAACCTATTAATCAAGTACCTACTTCTTATTAAAATTATTAGTCAAAAGAACCGCTAGAACATTATATTTTTATAGGTACCTACCTACTAAAATATTATAGGCGTTTTGAATATGCAATACACTGGCGTACGTGTTTAGTATGGTCTGTAATTATTATGTTATTAGATTTAAAATTATTATTATGTAATGGAATGAGTCATTTTTAATTGTTGTTCAAATATAAAGTTTATTGAAATATTAAATTTACTTCAATACTACCAATAGTGAAAAAAATTCAAATTTATACTAGGTATAAAATTCAGCTAATAAATATTTTTCGAGGAGATGATAATGTTTGTATTATAGAAAAAAAGAATGTTTCTGTACTAAATAATAATGTAAATGGTATAGTCTATACTTCTATAATGTACTAATAGTGCTTGTACGGTATACAGAAATAATATTTGAACGTTGTTGATAAACATGTATCAACAAAAACAAAATACCGCAACAGAGTTAATGCCGATTCTTAGGTTAGGTTAGGTATAATACAACTTTCATCAAAAAGGCCCAATAATTTGAATAATTATAATGATAAAAACCAATTTCACTTATCTCATTACATTGTTTTATTATTTTAAACTATTTTTATTTTTATTTTAAAATATTTTTTGAATTAAATACAGTATACACATTATTATTGTATGAAATTATTATAATTTATATTGCAAATAATTCTTACATAAAATTACATAAAATTACTCATTAAAACTTAGGGTTCTAATTGTCGAGCTGTAATAACTTATTGTGGAAAAATAAATAATTAAAGCTAAAATGCTAAAAAAGAGCAGAGGTTCCAAGATAAAGGTGGGCATAAAAAAGGGTTCCAAGGGTAAAAAGTTCAAGAAACGCTGGTATATACAAATAGTTATACAATTTCTATTTATAATATTCAATACATTAATGTACCCATACACAAGGGTCCACAAAAAAAGAAAATAGATTTTTGGATAATTTATTATCAAAATGTTTTATATTTCATTTACATGAGTCTTAAGTCTAAGGTATTAATTTATGATTTTTAACTCAAAATAAATACTAAAACTACAATATTGTTATATAAGTTCTAATAATATTACTATCCTTAATACTTAACAATTCACTACTTAGTAGTCAAAGTGAATATGCAGCTGCTCTTGCCCGAAATATTAGTTTTTATTTAAATATTTATTATATGCACTACGATAAACAAAATGATCTTATTACACATTATGATGAGTGATACAAATTTGTATTATGCAATCGTTATCAAAATAGGCTGATTTAACCCTGATCAATTGAGTTAATATAGTTTTATTGTATAATAGTTAAATAGTTTGTTTTAGACAGTGAATAAGGTGACAACATTTTTGTTTCAAAAATAATACTTTTATAGGTTTACAACTTTTAAATTAATTATTTTTCGAAGAAATCCATACGACTAAATGACACCCAATATCAAGATTAGAATTTCACATATTATACATATTTTAGATTCTGGGCGGAGCAATGAGTTGGTTTTAGAATGATAGGTTTTTTACTTGTAATTTAATTTGTTGTTACTTGTTATGTGTTGACTATTTTTATGGTTTAGAGCAGAAAATATTTAATCTTTTATGCGTGTGAAAAAGTGGTAGAAAATTGGATTTAGTTGGTACTTTGGATAGGATGTCAATCAAATATTGCAAAATAATAAAATTTTCTAGCGGAGGATATACTTATTATGTGTATGTACCTAATAAAATCTAGAAGTGACATTGAAAATTGTTTTTCTACTCGGGGGAGTCAGGACGACGTGGGTAGTCGGGAAAATATAACTGAACTGAATAGTGTATAGTGTATATTATTATCTACATTAGATAGGTCGCGGCGTTGCTGTAGAAAATGTATGGTGGTCGTCGGTGGGTAACAAGCCACGGGGAGCGCTAGTAACCGACCGATGTCTGCGAACTGCTAGTTTTCTGCTACTCGGTTGAATGGACTAGTGATAATTTAAATTTTTGCCCGGTCGAGAATGTAATCGTTTCACGAACCAGTTGGCCGTTGGCGTTTCTCGTCGCATGACGTATAGCTCGTGTTTCGTGTTGTAAATATCGTACTGATTTGTTAATACTGTACTCTGCGTCAACAAACTAATCTGTTTTTTATCGAGTTTTAATGATATAATAATAAAAGTGAATTTGTTTAAACACATATACTCGTATTAATTTAAGGAGGTGACGTTTTTTTTTAAGTTTACATCTCCATTGTAAAATAACAAATTTGGATTACAAAATATGTACTCACCCAAAAATGAGAGTGATGACTGTAAGTAAAATCGAAATATACAATTTTTTACCACACTATATTAATAACATTTTGTTTTTTTTTTTTAAATTCTTGTCCACTGTCAAAAATTTAAAAATACCAATAAGTATTAATGTGGTTCGAAGTGTTTGTTCTACTGTGTAAAATTTTGTGATTTACATTATTTAAGTAGTTTTCTGGAAGTAGTTTGGACAACATGACGTTCTAATTTATTAATTATCATCTTAATTATATTTGCTTGCTAAAATCGGACAATAAATACATAATAGCCCCACTAAAATTAAAATATAGTTGTATATTATTTCGATATTCGTTTAGACCAGTTTAACCAAAGATTGCTCGCATAGTATTCTAAAATAATCGGTGAATTAAAATATTTTTCCTTTGTTCCCTTATTAAGCCTTGATCCTACTATGGTTTTGAGTAAAGGCTTTAAAAAATCATTACTATCCCAATTTACGTTTCACCTCTTAGTAGATTTTTACGATATCATTATAAATAGTAAGCTATTAGCTTAATTTTAAGGAGTTCAATCGTTCATCTTTATAGTGTAAAGGTACAGCACCTTTTTTGTATAAAGTCATCTAATTTATAACCAAAAAAATGTACGGCTTACATGCGATACTAAAGATTCTCATGACTAATATATCAAGTGGTTTAGAAATATCAATAAAAACGACACCTGTTTTCAGATTACTTTGTTTTTATTATTGTTGTGTACTTTGGGGGTGGCGAAAATAAATATTATATTTACCATCGTCGATTACATTGGTATAGTATATAAATTATGTAATTGTATCATGTTGTCGTGTATTATACTCGACAACATATATAAGTGTTACGGGTGTGACGATAATACGCGGGCGCGAGAAAACAAAATAGGGTCTTTGATCACAAAATTATCATTGCGTAACGTCAGCGTTAATAATACGTTTACCAGGAGTTTGGGAAAATAAAATTAGTGTCACTAAATAATAACCGTGCAGGAAATAAATTTTCGAAAATCGTTTCAATAATACAGCGACCCGAAATCACGGTGCGCATCGAGGGTGTTGGTGTTGTCGTGGTAGTTGGTGAGGGTGGTCGTGATTTATGAAATATCGTATTATAAATGATGGCGATGATGTACCTGTTTCATATTATAAGCTGCAAGAGGTTTTTTGGTGTGCAAAGATTGCGTGCTAGATTGAAAAAATTTTTATTCGTTTTAAAATCGTCGACACCGCGTAATCATATTATGATATATTATATATTATACCGATATCAATCGCCGTGTGTGTGTGTTGGATTACGATTTTTCGCTGGAGTTTAATCGCATCGATTGCGTACATATATAATAATATGTTAATGAGGCGAGCAGGACGTGTTGCACCCGTGGTGCATGTGGCATATCACAGCTCTATAGTTACAGTATAAAATATAATTTAATATTATACTCGTGGCGGCAACGTGTGTGAGTAACACCACGATATGTTTCGTATGAGAAAAGTGTGTGGTGGAAATCGTTGGAGGCCCTCGTTCTGCGTGACATAATAATATTGTGTTTTCTTCCCGAGACGCTTATCATCATTTAGAGAAAAAAAATTCGAAAACATGAATTTGTGTCCACATGAAATTTTGGTTATATAGATACACGACCGTCGCGAGCACGCGACGGTGACGACGTAACTCTTCCGATATTTGAATTCGTAACCATTCAATCGGTTGGTGTGTGCGTGCGGGGGGGGGGGAGGAGTTGGTCTGGGTATAACCACTCATATTGTAGCCCGCCCGCCGGCGAAATTATAAAATACGATTGCCATAACAATATACACATTTATAGTATTGTTTCGTTGGGAAATAGCCTCGTCGTTATTTGTGGGCAAGCGCACTGTAGAAATAATAATAATAAAATATATGTACGAAAAATAATACGTAATACGTAAGGATATCATTCGGATAAAAACCTTGATCTTGATGGTTGTGAGTTCCTGTGGGATCACTGATCAGAACATTTACTATAATATATATTACTGCTCTATTATGTGAACCACTTATATATTAGGTACATACCAATACATGATATACTATAATATATTATATATACCTATTACCACATAATACCATATAATGGTAATTATTTTTCTCTCCTGAACCCCGCGCGTGGGATAAAACTAATTGTATTTGATTACGTACCTCGTGAAGCAATTTATCGAAACTTATTATGTAATTAAAATTATATTTTAGCAGATATAACTGTAGTTGTGGTATAGCTAAAGAACCGATACTAGCTATTATGTTATTATTTCATGTTTATGATATCAACTATTTTTTTTTAAATAGTTATAAATATATTATGTATGTATAAGAATATTATAGCTGTGAATGTTTATATTGTATTATAATAATATTATTTGTAAGATTTAACAGAAAACCACTGCATGAATAGTATAACTTTCCTAGCACACATTAGTCCAAATCGTTAAAAAATAATAGATCGTTCAACTGTTGTTAAACTTACCTAAAATCTGTAAACTAAAAAAAAAATATTATTTTATACTATAACAGCACTTTAATATCATTAATGAACAGGTATTAGAAGATCTAGTCAGTTGCATTTATCAAAAAGTTACTCATTTTTATTCAAAAATGTTAACCACAATTTCGCAATTTATTTTACGTTTGCAATTTATTCCTGGGACGAATAAAAGTTAAAACTGTTTAATATTATGTTTTTTTTACACAGACCAATTTATATTTATAAGCTGATGTAAGTGATGCACCAAAATGTTTTTAAAATACAATTTGAATGTCTTCGTGGTCTACATTAAGTCGATATAATATAATATTATATACTTATGCTTACCGTGTATTATTATGTTTGCAATTAAACATATTATTTATTTACTTTTCTTTAGATTTTAGTTACGAAGAATTTTTATTAATTATATTAATTTTATAAATTAAAAAAAAAAAATTATTAATAAAAATTCTAACTAAAATACAATTAACTTAAAAATAATTTTATTAAAACAATTAAAATGTCGTATGCATCACTATAATAATTATTAGTATCATTTTTTATTAGTTGTTCAGAGTAATACAAGGTTTAAAAATGTACAGTTACTACAGTTTATAGTAATAGTCATTTGTGTGATTTTTGAACGATTGCGGTCCATTACCTAGATATGTTCAATTTATCCATTAAATGTTACTTGAATAAATAATTCATGAAGAACTGTGAACTTTTTTCTATTTTAAGAATTGTTTTAATTATTTGTATTCATAAGTCAATTGACATTTTAAAGACTCTTCATCTAATCGTTGTTCGTCTCAATAAAACAATTATAATTAATGTGTTTCCTAAGTACACAAATAACATCTTCGAACAATGCTTGAAACGTTAATGCTTATAATGATAAGAATGATACTATAATTTACTGTCAATTATTTGTCCAGAGTTCATCAAACTGGTGCAAAATTGCATAAAGGGCTACGTTTAAAATGTTTATCAAAATAACATATTATTTCTTTACATGGTCATAATTTTGACAGATCATTATAATACAGGTTAGTGGTTAGTGCTTAAAGTAGTTGTTCAATTTGTATTTTAAACTAGAATCTCTTGTTTAAGTTTAAATACTTCAGTGTAATTTTTTTAGTTGATATGTACTTTATATATTCAAATGATTTTGTGAGTCTTAAATAGTTGACACTTAATATAAAGAAAACATTGATAACTGTTAAGATATTGTGGTAAAATGGTATGACGGACTAAAGTTCTTGTTATGTTTTTGAGCTTATTATACAAATATCTATGTACGTTTGTGGAACTTTGAGATTGACGTTAACTGACTATAATAATTCACACATGATTTGATGTTATACCTACACGGATACACTATTATTTTTATCACAAGTTGAAATGTTTAAAAAAGTATTCATTTAATATATTTAAGTTATTAAATATTATAAGACTATATTGTAAGCTGAAGAAAATATGATTTAATATTTTTTTAATATACTTACAAAAATATATATAGGGTAGGTATATTTGTCTATATATTGTTTCAAGGTAATAATAAAATAATTTTCTTCCTCAAACATACCAATAAGTATTATATTTTTTTTATGAATACTCATAATTTAAATAGTTCACAATATTTTTTCTGATAGTAAATAATAGCTCTTTAAACAAATTTAGATGAAAATTCTTTGGATTTGACTATTAAATAGCGCCTTTAATTGTTAAATGTACTTGGTGTATCGTGTTTTGTTATTGGGTATATCCTACCTAATAATAATTTAAAAAAATTACATTTGCTCTTAACGCTATTTACTAATCTTCATTATATTCGAAAAAATATAATCAAATGTATTTTACTGTTAACTATCTTTATCGAGTGATAAGGGAATTATTAAAATGCTTATAATTTCTTTATATTATCGTAGAATACCTATTATTAATTGTTGTTACCCAATTTTGTAAAAAAATTTCCGATTTCATAAAAAACAATCAAAAAGTAGAAATAATTTAATTCAAGACTGCAGTCTCGATGAAAAAAAATAGATTCTTTACGTTTTTAGATAAAATAATTTCATCATGTAAATTAAATGATAGGTTTAATTTTTTCGTTTAATTTGTGAAGTATGTATTAAGAAAACCATGTTTATGCTTTCTTACTCATTTCACGTAGTAGGCAGGTACTTATATCAAATATTGATAGTTAAAAATGTAAAAATATAAATCACAGTAGGTATGTAAACAAAAAGTTTACGCTTTCCTCTATTGGGTATTTTTAAGATAACAAAGTATCGCACCCTGGCTATCTAACAATGTTTCAAAAAAATTATACTAAAAAAAAAAAAATAAAAATATATTACATCAAATATCCATTACATCTTTGATAAGAATCAAATACCTAAGACAAGTTTTGATTTACCTATATATGTATTTACGAGTTAAAATGTTTAGAAAAATTATTAACCATAAACTCAAAAACCCAGTACATACATATTTTATATAAGTTGATTCATCAACTGTGCTCACCCTTTTTTCATTCAATTATGCAGTTATTCAGAATCTGATATTTAGATTTTTTTTAAATACTAAAAAGATTTAAAACTTTTACATTTTTGAGATTTGTTGTTATGTGGAGATATAAGCTTATGTTATTCAAACAAGAACGCTTATTTTTGTGCAAACTTTGACGTATCAGAATCAAAATTCGAAAGGATAGTTTTTGAGTTATTCAATTTATAAATTATATACACTATTGGAGTATATAAACTATATAAGTTATTTTTATTAATCCATCAACATTTATAATTCTTAAAAATGGTACAAGTATTATAAATATTAAATATTGGATACAATATTATTACATCTGTTTTAAACATTTAAATATCGAGAATTCCAAAGTCAATATTTAACTTAATTCGAACCTTATAAATATTTGGTGAACATTTCAATTCTACGGTTTTTATTATTATATTATAAAGTTAAAAAAAAATTAATTTAGTCAAAAACCGGGTCTGCGTTAAAATTAACCGTTTTTCTAAATTTTTTGTTTTTTGTTTCCGGGATATTTTAAAAAGGACTAAGAATTTTTTACTTTTAACCTAAAAAAAGTTACAACTAGGTTCAATTTTCTAGTAAAAACCTTCTTCAATGAAAAAAACCTAAACATCTTTACTGCTTCTTAGTTTTTGCCAGATAAACAAAAAAAAAACATTCATAATTATTCATTTATTAATAATTATATACATTCAAGCCCTGCCCAGAATCTCGAAGTATTTACTATTTTGAATTAGGTATTTGTTTTTAGTGGTATAGGTACATACTGTACCACCTTGAATTATATGATGCTAAAAATGTACTTTAAAATTTCCACTCTGTATTATTTATAAGAGTATAAGTATAGGAATAGGTATGTTATTCTTCAAACAGGTAAATATTAATAGTTGGTAATCGTCGAGGTTATGAATTTTCAATTTTAGTTTATTCATTGGTTCTCAAAATATTTTTTGATACTCTGCTGATATCTTTAAGTAGGTAACTGCTAAATACTAATGGAGAATTAAAAATTGCAAATAATTATAGAATATCTTGTTTACGTCACTGATAATTCTAATGGGTAAAGTGGGGCTATATATGGCTATCCACGAACCTATCGTACATTTAGTGAGTAAATGGTAAAAAAAAAAAAACTAGAGAATCGAGTATATACTACACGCCGTACAACCCAGTACCCCCCCCCCCCACACACACACACATAATACACCACTGGGTACACTGTAACTATACCTAAATGATTAATAAAAGTGAAAGTGATAATATTTTGTAAACATAATTTGGTAAGGTTAGATTAGATTCAACTACTCGCATAATACAATATACATAACAAATAGGTAAATGGAATGGGAATTTGGGTTTTACACGTTAGGTAAGTACCGAAATATTGAAAAAAATTAAATACCACTCGTGTCTGTGTGTTCTACTCGAGATAGGGCGTCAGAATTACCGCTATATATGATATGATAGTAAGTAGGTGTATCTAAGCACGGCAGTCCGCAAAATATGTTATAATATTATAATCGTAAATGTTCTTAAAAACTTGTGATCATCATCTCGAATAATGACTATTCTATGGAACGGATACTATACTGTAACTATTATAACTACTATGGATTGATAGAAAATTGGCTGCTGCAATGTATAGAATAATATTCGTAAGCATAATATACTAGTATAGATACCTACTAGTAGTCATTTTTAACTCTATAGAGGATTTTTACTCTAAAAAAAGTTTATTTACCAAGGGAGGATGTACTTACTTAATACGTTGATTTTTATGTACTATTAAATAGTCGGGATGGTACATAATAATATTATATTGTATTTTAATACTAGGTATTTCGTAACAGTCACAGTTATGTTGTGAATCCACACCGTGCGCAATTGCAAAAACAAAAAAAGAGGGATTGTAACTAGGTGGTATACGTTTGCAGTGTCTCAATAATAATAATAATAATACATAGCTGGCTACAGAAATGACCTAATAACATTCAATCGTGCCGTCATTACGCACTCAGACCCCATTTCATTTCAATCGTTTGCGTATAATATAATATTATTATAATTTACACAGAGTCGCAGGAATCATAACATATCACTTTTTAGATCTCGTTCTGGTGATTTATGATTCATAAACATTTTGTGTGTTCATTATACTCACTGTTTACATAACGAAATTAAAAGTGCGTAATACGAAATTACAAATTTGTACAACTTTGTAGTGGGTGTTCACTTTTCGTTGTGCAATTTCGTACATGCTGAACAAAAAAATTACGAATAATAGGTGTTGAATCTTGTAATACCTACACTGCCTGTTTTTATGTGTATGGGGTGGGTTATTTATTATATGAACTATCCCTATACCATCCCATTTTCAGTCGAACAATTTGTTTGTTGTTCGTAGGCAGTATATCGGTAAACTGTCTGTAAAATTTTAGTTCCGTCCGTAAATTTCACATAACTCGATACAATATATATTCAAATAATCAAATGTCAACATTATAATATTATTATTATTATTATTATGGTACCTATATATCACGTGGACTATAATTACTTGTAATGGGTATTAGGCGTTTAAAAATTGCAATGAAACAAAAATGTCAATAATTATCTCCTAAAAAATAAACATCCAGTGTTTGTCTATGGTAAATTAGTAAAATTTTATTCCGGCGATCGTATGTACTCAAAATAAGTAATAACATAATATGTTTTAATAAAAAAAAAAACGATCGTACTCTAACCCGACGATAACATGCACGAGCTTATGCGATTGTGTCGCGTGTGTGTACGTAGATTTTATGTCATTATGTTCTTGTAAACATTTCTGACTGGTTCTGCCCGTGTTACGTAACCTGTTAATATATAATAATAATGCGACTAAACGGAACGGCGTGTCTGTTGAAGTGTAGGGAGTGGGCGGCGGGCGCGCACACTCGCTTGCTCTCTGTTGCTACGACAAGAATTGCCGGTCAACCAGTAGGAACGAAAGAGGGAGCGCGGTGCACACGTGCTTTACTTATGAATTTACGGTTGGTCATGTATCGGTTGGACTGGTTTCGTGCAACAAAAATATAAATAATAACCTAGCATACATATTTTAATATATATGATATACATTAATTTACAAACTATGATCATCGGAGTCGTCATCAAATAATTTTGGAAATAAATAATAACGTACTCTAGAGGGTCAATATTCTATGATTTAAACGGAGGGAGAAAAAATTAACTGATCACATTCCCGTATACGATGATACGGATTCGGAGCAGATGCCATATTATTTAATACTTAACATTATGTAAAACACCCAGTCGAACGCAGTTGCCCGTGACGTTACGTTTTAGGGTTAGGTCAATACCTATTTAATAATAAATTAGCCATATGTCTTCTGATCCATAGCTCATAGATATTTTATAAAGTAGGTTATATAATAGATCGAAAATAATTTTTTTTTTCAGTCATGTAGACATACTACAATGTATACACGAACTTACTTGAACAATTTTAGCTATAATAGTTCTAACATAAAATGCACTTGATCGACAATATTGTGTTATCATTTTTGAATTTAATCATAACAGCTATTTAAAATGAGATGTTATTCAATACGACTAATGGTGTTTGCGTGTTGTGCCCTGTTCACAGGTTAATGTCGTTCTTCATTCAAGAGGTAGAAGTTAGCATAAATGATTTTATGGCCAAAGTGGTAGCAAACGACAAGTTCTCCGGTCTATACATCAGTACGTATGGCGGCGGTGAACCTGTTGCTCTCCATCAGGAGCAACAGCAACAGCAACATCAACAGCAACAGCAACTGCAACTGCAGCAGCAGCAACAGCAGCAGCAGCAGCAACAGGAGGGACTGCAGCAGATCCGAAATGGCAGCATCGATGTCGGTTACGACAATTTGGAAGCGTGCATCGCGTACGCCGATTCGGTGGCCAAGTGCGGCCGCGTGTGCGAATCCCTGGATCTGTACGCCCGGTGTTTCCGGGTGGGCCCTCTGCCCGCCGACTGCCTGTGGCACGTGACCTCGGCCTTCCTCGATCTGATCCGACAGCAGTTCGACGACTCCCAGGCAAGCGAAAAGTTTTCGTCACCGCCACCACAGTCACTACAACAACAACAACAACAACAATTTCTACAGCATGCGCACGACGACCACCAGGAACGCCAAAGCTACATCCACCACCACAACACTCGCCACGACCATCAGCAGCAACAGCCCTGTCCGTTCGTCTGCTGCGTCTGCAACCTGGTGCTCCGAGAACCGGTCACGTTGCTGTGCGGTCACACGTGCTGCCGGAGGTGCGGGGATGGCACCGCCTGCAAACCGTTAGTGTGCCACAAGTGCGGCATGCGCACGCCATTCCAGCCGCACGTAGACGTACTGGTCAAGTCGTTGGTCGAGAAACTGTGGCCAGTGCAGTTACGGGCCTCCGAGCTGCTGGACGAGGGCAAGGCCTTGTACAGACAGGGCAAGATCCACTCGGCTCTCATGAAGTTCAACCAGTCATATTACACTGGTATGAAAACAGATTTTTACTTATTTATTGTTATATGTATATGATAATCAATCTACAAGCATTTTGAAAAGTCAGTTACCATATATTATAGTTCACGATGAATACAGTGTGAATATTATAGTGCTGTAGTATATAACCTACATGGTATTATAATGGTAAAGGGGAGATCGTTAGTCGAAAAGGTTGTTGTAACAGAAAAGGGAGGTTTCTTATTTTTTTTTCTGTACCCACTATCAATAATATCTATATTATGTTAATCTGTACCCTGCAATGATAAGGAATTTTAGTGTGATTTATTTATTTATCTGTATGGAAAAGATACCATTGATTTATGTACTTATACTTATATAGAATTATAACGTACCAGTTAAGGTAAAATGTTAGCAGTTACTTTAATACATCGTATATTCGTATGAGTGAACAATAAAATTAACAATTTACTATATGCCTGTATATTACGATATATATTACGCTATCATAAAGTATAAACTAAGAAAAATAAATTATAACCGTTAAGGTTATATAACATAATATTTAAAAAGGGGGAAAGTAGGTAACTACTCTGTTGTACTGTATGAGTCTTACCACGCCAATGAGTAGGTCACTGTAGTAATGGATGCATTAAATTTGAATTCAATGATAAAGTATTGAAAACGAAAAACGATTCTGAATAAGGACGATCTGTCACCCTATTATCATATAAATATATTGCTATTAATTGGAATATTGTAGTGATTTATTTTACTATTCATAGAAATACATGGCATAAGCTATAAATTGGCGATAGCATTAAATTAATCTAAATGTTTTGAAAATGCCACAGTGCTTATAACATAATATAATAATATATATAAAAGTTTTAAACACCAACGTAAAATACTTTTAAATTACAATCAATTAGCTAAAATATTTGTTTTTCGTTTGAATATCGAATTCCGTCCAAATTTGAACTTCAAGTATCTAAAAACAATTCAAATTTGTACATTTTATTTTAGATTTTTTTAGTTACAGTATGAACTACGTACTTACTATACTTCGTATACAATTTTCAAGCTTTTTTACGGAGCCAAGAAAAATTGATCGATTTATCGGAAAAAAAACTAAAAAAATTGACAAATGTCTATATAGCTCAAAAAGCCTTAGGATCCTTAAACCTCCCATTAATACGCATCTGTTATGTACATAAAAACCATAAAGGAACGTATATCATTGTAAAATCAATACATTAGCTCTGAATCTAAAATAATAATAACAACGTATTTCATATTATTTTCATTAGGTAGGTTGAAAAAAACAAACATTTTTTTCAATTACAGAATTACTAACAGATATATACTGATATACGAACTATCACAGGAGGCATTATGGTATAATTAGTAGTCGTTTTAGGTATTAAAAATGTATCCTTATAGTACTTTACTACTCATCTACTTAAAATATTTAATTAAAAAAGAAAAATAAAAGTTTTTCTATTAGAGGTAGACAATCTACTTTATTATTTAAAAGTCTGAATAACAACATTAAATTAAAATTAGATTTTAATTATATCTGCAATTTTATAAAGTAGACATTATTTAAAAATGTTAAAATACCATTAAAATTTAAACGAGCGGGAAATTATTCTCTAAAATTCAAGGATATAATACTTTAAAATGCATTTTTGATGGATTCAATACTGTGATTTAGAGTCATTATAACACCGAATGAGAACTGCTTATTATAGTTGGTAACAACTTATGGAGATGTTTATGGCTTTCATTGCTGATACATTATTATACACATCTTAAAGAAGAAGCATATCAATATTACAAATAGAGTAGTATGATAATTGATCCGATGAAAAGCGAATATCCTTGTAAGCTTAATACCTATAAAAATACATTTTAGATTGTGCTTTAAGAATATCAAAAACATTTTTTGAATCGCTGAAAGTAATTTTTAACATTCGAGTTCTAGTTGATTTATCAAGGTGATAACACCTATAATGAATTTACATTTAAACCCATTTTATTAAAAACTAAATTTAGTCGAACGTTATGAAATTAAATGTTTGAGTAGTATTAGCATCAACTGAAAATGATATTAAGGGCTTTATAAATTATTTATAACTTATATCAGTTATTTTGTTGACGAGAACTAGCTTATTTTTTTGATTTGTGTATTTTATTTTCCAATTCCGCAAATTTGCTAGTTAGATTAGTATATTATTAGTATATTATAAGCAATCATAAATTCATCAAGATTTTATGAAATTTCATTAAATCGTTAAGTATGTAAATTGTTTAGATTCACCTTGTTCATTCGAACAACAAATAACATAATTTATACATTTTGACTAGCTTTTCATTTAGTTTAGTGATTTATTAGTAAGGGCTTGTTTTTCTTCCATAATATTGTTAAGTTGTAATCTGCTTAAAATAGTGTAGGTATTGATTATTGAATTAAACAGCGATATTAGAATTACCTATTTAAAATACGAGAATGCACAACAAAATGTAACTAAAACACGGTAAATCAGCAACCAATATGCGCCCAACTATCCAATATCCAATTCAACGATACAATTTATACATATTAAAATTTTTTGTATATTATAAATATGTGTATGGGTTTGTCCTAAATGAAGGTCTCACATATCTATAAATATAATATATATTATAGTTATATAATTTTATGAGCCAAAATAAAATTGTTTGTGAAAAAAAATGTAAATACTCTGTAGTGTTGTTACATACGTAAAATATTATTATCTAATTCAAGCTACAGTAGATAATAATTAATAATCAGTGGTGGTTATAATCTACAAATTGGTTAAATTATTTTTTTGTCCATTTTAACTTAAAACAACGCTTAAATTCTTATTTTACAAAATGTTTGATATAAAATAAAGATGTAAATTGTTGCTTTTTAGTCATCTGTATAGACTCCTTGATTCCTATAATTATTTATTTATTTTATCTACCTATTCTATTATATATCCACACTGAAAATTACCCTAATTATTTTTATGAATATTTTTTAATGAAATATTGCGGAAAACGTTAATAGTGTAATAAAACAGAACTATGCACAAGGGAGAATAATTTAAAGCTTAAAAACATTGTGTAATCAAATTTACATTATTTAAATTATTATTACCGATGCCGACATAACACATTGTATGAGATATGGAGAACATAAGTCGTAACATTTAGGTATATTATTGTACATACGTAGTTATGGACGGTAGACTGGTAGAGATATATAAATAAATATACCTAACAATGTACCTAATAATATAGGTCCTAACTGTTATCTTTGAAATAGAATCTTATCAAATAGATTCACTAAATTGTTACAAATTAGCAATTTTTTAAGAAATGAGACGTAAAAACATTTACATTTGAAACAACTTAAGCTTTACAATATTAGGACTTTATTTTGTACTTCGTGGATCGTGGTAGACTTTGTCTACTACAACAAAACATGTTACTGATTAAATATAATACATTGTATTACTTATCCTTTATATTATTTTAACTTATGTATATATTTGTGTTGGGTAAATACTTAACTACTTGTTCCGTACTTGCAAACATCGTTTTTTGGAGGAATAGCCTTGAAACACCTGAGCTAAATTGTCGAGGCAAACTGCAAATCCAATGTACTTAATACAATTTTGTTAAAATTCACATTACCCTCGGATTTTCGCAGCGTTGCAAAAATATAATTTCCTATTATATAGGTAATCATATACGCGTATATATATTATAAATATAGGTTCAATAGAGTATGGCTGAAGCTTAAAAATAAATCAAGTAATTATAATGTTATATCGATAATATTTATTTACTAAAATGTGTTTATATTATCCATTGGGTACCACTCTTACTAATTTGTTCTATTGAATTGTTTTTGAAATAAAAACAAAATGTAACTTATTAGGTACCTATATATCCTATAATTAAATACTGCAAGTATCCAATATCCATATGAATTTCTGCTCCTCTATCAATTTCCTATTTTAGATGATGATGTTTGGGCGAATGCAAAAAATAAAAAAAATTCCATGTTCTGAATGAAATTTTCCAAAAATTAAGACTAATTTATTATAATTAAGCTTATAATTATAATAGGCATTTGACATTTTTTATTATTTTTTTAATGTGTTGATAAACATCTTTGGTCTCTGTCAAAAACTTTAAAATGTAGTACAAGGTTCTACCTAAGTTATTCTTAAAGCAATTTAAAAATATTTAAAAAAAATACACAATATAATTATTATATTATTATATTACGCACATTTTTTTTAAAGTTCAAATTTCGGCAAAATTCGTAAAAATACCGAAATTTTTTATCCCGTATTCTGAATCTACAATTATAATAATACAATGTTGGATCCCGATGACCCATTTACGTAACACTCTATTAATAGGATGTAAACATGTCATAATACATATTATTTTGTGTGTCAGCTGTATATACATCGTATATAAAATATATACATAACGGTGTACATATGAATATAACATACACGAGTGCACTGGCGCGTAGCATCTATTTGTAGTACCTATCTATGTGCAAGAGAGTTCCAAAAAAGCCAATAGGCTCGTCTGCGCGAATAAAAATAAGCCACGTAATCGGATCGGACATTGGCAAAGGCGGCACAATATAATAATATACGGCGTAACGATTTCGGGTGAAATCTATATAGTATTACTCATACTATACCTATTGTAAATCTATTCTGCTTACCATTTTACACCTACTCAAAGGTTAAGGTTTACTTGGCCAATGTTTATCCATTACTGCCACTACTTTGCATTATGATATTATTTATTATGTATGCATATTAGTATATTACATGTAGGTACCTGCGGTTATCGTATATAAAATGTAATAGTTATACTATAACTATATAGTTGGTAGTTACATTACATGTATTATATGCGTTCTAAATATACATACACATATTATATAAAATACAATTTCGTGATGTAGCTCAGTAGTGGCCATATAGA